TCTATGCATTGCAGACACGTACATGTGCATTGCAGGTTGGCAAGCAACATTTATGATTAGAAGCGTGCCAGCCATGGGCTGCCCCGTGTTTTTGCCTACCCACACGAGCATTCACTGATTCAGCCTTCAGGGTGCTATAGACAGACTGCTTTAGAAAATAATATGATTTAAAGAGCATAAACCTTGTTCAACAAACATTGCCTTTGCAATTAAACTGTGCAACTGTAGCCTCACATTCACACAGGTATGAGCTCTAATAATAGCAAAAGCAGTTCAGTCCTTTGTTAACAGTCAACAAACCAATGTTTAACCCTCCTCTTGAGGGTCAAAAGGTTATCCAACACTTACTCTTCACATGTCAGCGGAAAGTACATTTCACGGTCCTTTCAATAAAGGTCGCCGCTGAAACAAAAAAGTTTTTCAATCGCTCCGTCAGACCATGTCCTCAGAAAATTTCGAAAATCTGCCCTCTGCCCCCATTGACCTTTGACCTGTGACCTCCAATTTCGGCACAGTGATGGCTTTTCCTACCGACTATCACGAGCCTAGGTCGAGCCGTTTAGATTTGTGACGCAATTCTGCATTTCCTCCCTATACCTTATGTTAAGGAGGGAATGTTCCCCCCTTCTTTTACACCAGGGTTCATAGTAGTAAGACATGTTGAAATAAGGACTTATAAGACCCTATCTGGAGGCCATAATTAGACTTTTGTATGCGATTTCTGATAGATCACCGACTATTCAAGTACACTAATAATATTTATATACACAATTGCACAGCAGATTTAATTATTTCGTATTATATATACAACAAAAAGGACAAAAAATAAGGACTATTAAGTACTTTTCTAAGATTTCACAAAAAATAAGTATTAATAAGGGCTCTTATTTTATTTTTGGCAAAATAAGTACTTATAAGACTTTGGAAGACTCGCTACGAACCCTGTACACCTCTTGACCTTTGACCTTTGACCCCAGCTTCGACATCCCAACTCGTTTTCGGATTACCCCCCCACGTCCCGAATATCGTGACCGTACGTCAAGCGGCTAAGATTTGTACCCAACTGTTGACGGACGGACGGACGGACAGACGGCCGGACGGACGGACAATCATGCAATTCTACAAGCTGCACCTGACTACATCAGATGAGCTAAAAACGCACGAGTGTTCACACACTTTCCTAATCGCACCTCAGCCATTTTACACCCCCCTTTTCTATGACCTAAATAGCACAGCTGGACTTTCCGATATCACTTATTGGGAGCTGCTTGCTTGTAATTTGTAAACTTTTACGTTCACCGCTTATGGTCTGTTCTCAAATTGATTTCAGGTTATTAATAAATATCAATTTTTAATATCCCATTTACTCACCAGGAATAGTGCTTTATTATACAGATATGGCATGTCAAAATCTTGTTATTTTTAATTTTAATTATTAGCAGCCGTACAGAAAGTGATCTTGACATAACCAACATGATAAATCGTGCCAGTAGAACTGATTTTAAAACATTTAAACTGGGGGTTGAAACCAATAAACAATTTTTCTAACGTTTTAAAATCTGACAATGTTTTCTTACCTGATTGCCTATAAGAGAGATTGCTCAATCATAATCTTGTTAAAGCCACTGGGTGGTGGATGGAAAAACTCGTTAAACACTACGTCCATTATGGCTCCGTCATCAACTGCAAGATAGATTACAAGCTACATAAAATAACATGTATACTGAGTAATTTTATCATTGTTTGTTTTTAAAAGCTCTTGTTCATTCCACAATCTGTATTTGTTTGCATGTGTCTCTGTGTATATATTATGTATCACCTCGTTTCACGATTAAAACCTATAGCCTCGACAAACAGATTTTTGGATAGCAAACTAAAAAATTAATTTGATCACGTAATGATCAGATCGTACATATAGTATCATTCAAGACAAAAAATCCATCAATATTAGTGAAAAAGAAACATAGGATAAGGGAAGCAGCCATCTTTGAAGTTCACTTTCCTCTGCTTCATGTTAAACAATGGTAATGCACACGCTGACAATGTTCACGTGCAATCCCCGACCTCCTAGACTTAGTATGGCGTGGGATTTGTTTCTCGCCTGTCCCACCCAACACTTCAGATTAACCATTGATGCCTTTTCTGTAAAGAAGGCAGATGACCAGCAACCTGGCCTATCGTCGAAAGCATAGCTGCTTCCTCCTTTATCCCACCGCACCAAGGAAGAAAGGGTAAGTGAACAGTATGTCCTGCCCTCTCCCATCACAAACAGAAGAAAGGGGTATAGTAGGTCGGAGGTCCTCTCCTCTCTCACTGCTACCAGCAAGGAGGAAAAGGCGTACAGCAGGTCCTCCCCTCTGCCAAGCAACCTTCACCGTCACGTAAGAAGCATTACCCTTGCCACAGATAATCGGCACAAACATCAATGAACACTGCTCTACATCGTCCACACACACCACACCCAGCAACCTTAATCCTTCACCATGGCTACAAGAGATGGTCATAGATTGCACGACCTTGCACGACACTGTATGGACAATTATTTTCACAGCTGCATTGGAGTAACCACACCAGAGTTATAAATAGCACTGCCACCAACACACACACAAAACAAATAAATACTAAAAGCAGTTCAGTTAAAGGGCTGCTAACATTTTCTCTTGATTTTGGTTCTTAATTTTGTTGAACAATGCAAGTCAATGATCTTTATTAGGCTCTGAAAGACATAGAGTGGCTGAAAGCAGCTTCATATGCACCATGTTATACTGACATTGTTTAAAGAATATTTTGCTTAATAGCAAGCAAGCTTCAGGTTTCTAGTCCATTAAACGACGTGTGGTAGTATATCACCAATTCTTTGCCCACGTAACTAAATCGACTTGACTAGAAAGATAATTCCTGCTCTTTTCTAAATAAATTGTTACATCAAACACTAATCAAGTATTTACATCTTTCATACCAAAGGGAGAATTGGTACATTTCCAGATTCCGGTATTAGAGGGAAAAGGGACATTTAATATATATGTGATGTACTGGTGAGAAATAGAATACAGGCTATAACCAAAATGGTAAAATCTGCAAAATGCACCATGCACTTACATAGTTCTCATACCTACCATAGAATACAGGATACAGCATTCCTCGGATGCCTGTAACTGGACATTGCATGTTTTTACCATTCAGGTAGAAGTTCATTTCTATGTGGTCATATGACAAGCCCTGTAAAAATCAGGTAATTCTAAAATACAGTTATAGATGTGTCTTTTCAGTATTGTATCAGAAATGACAGTGTTTGCATTAAGTATATTTTTTTAATTGTTTATTATTAAGTATATTTTTTTATAAAGTTTATAGTAAATATAGGAAATATTATACTATATTTTCGGATGAAAAATGTCAACTGACTAATTAGCCTTATGCTTGTTTATTTATAATTTCTTATTATAATGGTTTTGATAGAACAACTTCCTATCATTATACGATATCTACAAAAACAAGGCAGAGTGATTAGAATACAAATGCTTGCACTTGAGTGACCATAGTTCTCATTCCGTTCCACATTACAATAAACTACACCAAGACAAGAGCGAGTAAACCTACAATAACATCACCCTCGTTGGGTACATCAGTCAGCCTGGCTCGCTCTTGGTTGTTGCTATACACTTTCCCGTCACATCTGAGCACCCAGCTATCCTCGTTGTCGCCCAGTGGCAGTCGGTTCAGGTCGGCTCGTCGAGTTGCAAGGCCGATGCCCCATGACCCTGCGAAAATGTCTCGTTTACGACTAACCCTCTCCAACACAAACGACTGTCACGTTTAGAATTCTTTGGCGATAAATGTCTTTCAAGAACGACGCGTATCATATAAGCAGGGTGCGAAATTAACGGGAGTCCGGAGTCAAATACTCCCTGATTTACTGCCAGACTCCCTGATTTGACATATGCAGGAGTCCGTGTGACTCCCTGAAAATTCTGCCATAGGCTAACTAGTTCATTCCAGAGCACGGCCTCATGGAATTACCGTATTTTTCCAGCAAATGTCCAAAGAAAATTTGGCAAACGTGCAACCGCATAAATCTTCAAAATAAGCACATACATTGTTAATATCTTTAATTTTGAACTTCAGACTGCGGACTCCCTCTGTTTGAGGGCAGGGAGTCCGTTGGACTCCCTTGTTCAAAAGTTACTTTCTACCCCTGTATAAGTTTTCCATATATAATCAAGTCTATAATAGAAGATTATGGACATTTCCTATTGCCAAAAATATGGATATTTTCTATTATGGACTCTTGATATAATCAGGAGTTAATAAAGACAAAGGAGTTTGACACGTAATTGGTACTGATTTCACTAAATTTTGTTGTACGAGTTCGATGTGAATAAAAATACAAATGTATACAAACATGAGCTTCTTTTGTTCACTGGTCCTTATTCTATGTTCCGGTATTATTACAAACCGAGTAGCTTCCTACGGTTTGACATAAATCGTACTTTTGCACGACAAGGTTTTCACGTTATTTACCGTCGTGTGGGGAGGCCAAGCGGTAAATTCGCATACACAGCAACTGGAAGGAGGCGCGGCAAGACTTTTAAGCCGTAGTCTAGCCGAGTGCAGAAAATGCGTTTAGAAATTAAGTTACGTTGCACCCATGCTGGGTTTAAAAATGAAAACTATTTTACATTGAAACTATAGTTAGAATGTCTTGTTTTTATGGTTGAATCCCGCAGTTTTTTAAAAATAAATGCTGCGCTGGTAAAATATCTGAACTACTTCACCCACGGAGGAATAATGTGTATGAATCTTTGCGAGTACGTACATTGACGCTCCAGCTGATTGTAGCTTTTCGCACGTGTTTTGCATAGCAACCGTTACTATGCAATTGCAGGCAAACGCATGTGTTTACACCTTACTTATCATGACCATCTGTATGTGATAAAGGCGAGAGTTAACGTTGTCATCACTCGGCTTTGTTAGCCGAACAAAAACTTCTTCGGGAGATAACGTACGGGAGACGGGCTTATTCCAGTTGCCGTGTATGCGAATTTACCGTTTGGCTACGCCACACAACGGTAAATAACGTGAAAACCATGTCGTGCAAAAGTACGATTTATGTCAAAACGAAGAAAGCTACGCGGTTCGTAATACTACCGGAAGATAGAATAAGGACCAGTGAACAAAAGAAGCTCATGTTTGTATACATTTTTGTATTTTTATTCCCATCAAACTCGTACGACAAAATGTAGTGAAATCAGTACCAAATACGTGTCAAACTCCATTGTCTTTATTAACTCCTGATATAATGTAATACTTATTTTTTAATAATGTTCGTATAGTATACATTACAGCAGATTGCATTTCTGTTCTCTCTTCCAGGCATGTGATCTTACCAGCTTTATGTAACCAAAGACTATGAGACAATAATCATGGTTTTCTTATGTATGAAATAATTTGTCTGAATTCAAACAAACACAGCTACTGTAATGTAAAATATAAACCCCAGATATCATACCTGTCTGTTGTAATTTAACTTCAAAGTAGGCCTTATCCTGGACAATGGGAACGTTAGCCAGCGCAGCACCACTCCCACATATCCGGCGTCCATTCTTTACAATGACAACATCGCTACCTAAATGGTAAACATCATATAAAACATAAAACATTCATATTTGTGTTCTCGTCATTACGTGCGATTCAGGTATTTAGATGTGTGAACAAATTCTGATCTCCGTCTGGAGATGTATGATTGTATGTGGTTATACAGCTTCAAAGTTCTCAATGCAATCACAACCGCAGGCACTTGGAAAGTTCCAATAATAATGTGATGGTAAATAAACGTGAAATGTATTTACTCCAAGTCTTAATGTTTTTATACTATCTTTCGCCTATTATTACTGACAATTTCCTGTAAAT